GCACCATTGTATTACTAACAACACCTAGAATTGTAAAAATGTTAACAAATATTTTCTCTTTAGTTAAAGTTATAGTGGTGAATTCCCAAACGACACAGTTTTCTGCCTCATGACTTTCTCCTTTTGTTGGAGTAAAATTACCCTCTGTTGTAGTTTCTAAATTTAGCGAACTCCTTGTGCTTTTATCTTGTTCAAAACCATCAGCCTGTTTCTCATGCAAAAGGTGATGATTAAATTGTTCAAGAGGTCAATTTATGTCAATTAATCATTAATCCAATTTGACTAAATTCAGACTTTTCCTCTTCATGACCCAACAACACCAGGAAGTTTTATTGGAGCAATTTTACTACAAGTTATAACTGAACCGTACCACAAACCAAAACTTCACTGTGCAAATWTGTGGCTGAGGAGTGTTCTGGACCCACCTCATGAACTTTACCTGTGCTACAGTGCAGCYCCTGTTTTTGTTGAGGAGACAGTGGTCAGCTATTGAGAAAATAGAGGTACGCTCCCACAAATGGGGTGCCGTTTGTAAAGTAATGTGTACATAAAAATTCCTGCTAAATTTTGTCACATTTAGCTTCAAACACTATTTGAAAAAATAGTGTAGATTTTCTAATATCACCTTTTAACAGATTTAAGTTTTTATATCTAAATGTTACAGCTAAATACTAAATGTTAAATGTACATATTAAATGTTAAATGTAAATAACATTAATAATACTACAAACAAAAACTGTGTTTGTAGTGAATCTACTGCAAAAAGATTAGGAACATTTATTACCTTACCTGTGTTAGATAAATCTTTGAACACCCTTAAAAAATAAGAATACTTTGCAGATAAATGTGTACCCCAAAGTGTCATTTATAATCAGATGTGAATACAGATACAGATACATCAGATACTACAGATACATCAATTCAATTCAATTCAATTCAATTCAATTCAATTCAATTCAATTCAAGTCAATTCAATTCAATGTATTCATACAGCTCTAAGTCACGATGAACATTGCCTCAGAGTCCTGTACAAAAACACATACCATTTTTATTTATGTATAATGCAATTTTTTGAGATTAAAAAGCATTAAAAAATCATCAATAACCCATGTATAATACTACCCCCCCTCCCCCTTCCATTTCATGGATGATTTTTAGGGTTAAATTTCTAGTATTATACATGAATAAATACAGTGCATATACTGTATTATAGAAGACAAAGCTAGCAAGACTCAGGCTGACAGAAGTGACAGAGCAGGTTTGCTGATGTTTCTGTAAAAATACAAATACATTCTGAACTATATTTTTATTTCATCCTTAACATGGTTCACAGCCATTTAAGTCACATTTTTTGTCAAAATATACATAACCCCACTTTGAGCGTGACATCAGGTTTTTGTTGGATAATGCAACATATAGTCTGTGGTGTCAAGTACAAATACTTTGTTACTTTACTTAAGTAGAAATTTTGGTTATTTATACTCTACTGAAGAAATTACAGTATGATAAAGCAACTTGCACCTTCTTTAAAACGAAGTAGTTTTACATTTACTCAACTCAGTTGAGAGTACCAATTGATATAACTTGGTTAAGTAAATCCAATAATATGGTTTTGAAGCATGCTTTTGACATCCCTGCATAAAACAAAACTTTTGGGCATGGATTTTTCAATAGCACTTTTAGCCAAGAGAAAAAAAAGTACCTTCAAAATATTTTCAAATATGGCAGTTTACTGTTTTAAAGCAGTTGGCAGATGAGCTGATCTTTAAAAACATCCATTCTGCTGCTTTTGCTGGGTCGTGTAAGTTATAGGTGGTCTTTTTGGTGTGGCCCAGGATGGATTGTGTTCAGACCACCAACCGTATACAGATAAAGGGGATTCAGACCACATTCAACGGTGGTCTGAGAGTGAGGTTGCAGGCAGACAGACCCAGGGCGCAGGCAAAAACGCAGAATGCAAAAGATTTATTAAACAAAAGGTCTGGCAGGGAAGCTCAAAGTGTACTTATAAAAATAATCTCAGGAGAGCAAGAACACAAGGTACATGGGAGCATATCACACTGACTGGAGTAGAAAACACAATGATCAGACAAGGAAGTGAAGACAAGACATAGAATATAAAGTTGAGTAAATGGGGGACTGACTGGAAACTCCTGGAGAGAAAACAGGAGGATCAGGTGTGCCTGGGAGGGAACACAAACGCAGGTATACACAGGGAAACACTAGAAAAACCAAGGTAAAAATAAACACAGACCATGACATTGTGGTAAAGTGTTTTCAAAGCTAATTGATGTTATTCAAACCTTTATTTGTCACTAATCTAAATACTAAGAATCAAACAGCCTCTATGTGATTTGTAAAGCAAGACCTGAACTGTTGTGAGAACGTAGGATATTGTTTGATGAATGGTCTGTGTCTGAACGCTGCTGTGACACTCAAAAATGATCTAATAAAGCAAATGATGTTTGTTTTCTCAGACGTGCTGAAATCTACCCAACACTAATACAGTTATTAGTTAATGACAAAATACTATGAATTTATTTGAATAACCAACTTTGCCCATTTTGTTCAAGCAATATTCATAAATGGACTGTATATGTCTGAGAATATCTTACAGTACAATGCATCTGATGTTTGATATGGCATATCTTACAGGGAAAATAGCTACAAAATTTTAATTCTAAAAATGCTTTTATTGAAAATCTTTAGTTTGAGTTGCAGTTTATACAGAAACAGTTTGATATTTATGGTGATGCTTGTGAGAAAAAAATARACATTTCTAGAAGAATAAATACTTTTCCACAATAAAAGTCCTATTTAGCCAGTTTGAGTGTCTCTTTAARCATGACGCCGACTCCGTCAAACACTTTGTGAATGGGAGCGTTGCACATGAAGGCGCAGGTGGTGACCAGCTTGTTTTTGACATCAACYTGAGCTTCCTCCACATCTTTGTTCACATGTTTGCAGCCCATCTGCTTCACAGCACCTGCTGTCTGAGCGTATGGCCACCTGAGGAGGAAAAGATGAGAAATGTTGACTGACACTGTTTTGTGTTCGTTTACAATAATCTCCTCTTTGATTGAAAAGTAATTCACCCACTTGTCACACTCTTTGTCCTGCCCCACGGTCAGCTCACAGCCAGGCAGTATCTTTGCAGCCAGGACGGGAGAGATGCAGCACATGCCCAGAGGCTTTCCAGCTTTGTGGAAATCCTTGATGGTCTTCTCTAGAAGTGGCAGSACGGTGCAGTCCTTGTTCTTCACAGCCCAGTCGCTCAGGTTCTTAGCCACACCAAACCCACCTGATTGAGCCCCAAAAACAATGAGTTTAGATCTTTACACTAAACAGAAACGTGTCATAAAGGGTTGATTTAAAGCAGCCTCACCTGGTATGATGGCAGCATCGAAGGCCGAGACGTCCAACTTGGCCAGATCACTTACTTCACCTCTGGCAATCCGGGCACTTTCCTGCAGGATGTTTCTCTTCTCCTCGGTGGGTTTCCCCTCACAGTGGTTGAC